TGTGTGTGTGTGTGTGTGTGTGTGTGTGTGTGTGTGTGTGTGTGTGTGTGTGTGTGTGTGTGTTGCACTCAGGCAGGCCAGCTCCGTGCCTGTGTGAGGCATCCTGTATGTTCCACCGTGTCTACGTGGAGACAACGGGTATGCTGTTCCCCACTTCAGCCCCAGCTGTGGTTTTCCTATCCATGCAATTAGGGACTTAATTTAAAATCTTTGTTTTGTAGGGCTGCCTTCTTCAAACACACTGCTACCACGTTCTAATAAAGGCTCATTTAACCCCCTCTCATGCTGTGTGAATATTGGTGTTTAGAAAACCTTTCTGACACCTAGTTTTGCAAAACTTTTTGTTATGTACAACTTCTAAGTTTCTCTTTGATGTTGAGTGCATAAGATAGATGGGCTGAAGGTGGGGAGGGCAGGGAGGCTTTCATTCCAAGATCCAGGGACTTGGGTAAAGGAGGGAAACTGATGTTCAGGAGGTGCGGGGGGAGGGTGTGTTTCTACACCAAAAAATCAAGAGTATGCAAAACATTTCTATTCCTCAAATTTTTCTGTGTGCCTGGCAAATAAACACCTGTCTTTATACTAGCCTGAACTGTTATCCCTCTCTGTTCAACAACCTGGCCAAGTTGTAATTTTGAGATGGAGCACCTGGCTCACCTCTTCCCTGGCAAACAAACCTCACTTCTGTGCAGTAACAGATCGGGTGTGGGCAGTTACCTCAGTACTGCACCTGGGGTTGACCCCAGTCTGTGACGTGTCAGAATCTCCCTCTTCTGCTCAGGAACCGCCACTTCCCTGGCAGGACTCCTTCATCTTTGGATCTGGCTCTGCTCCTCTGGCCCATCAGGGACCACTAACTGTGATGAAAAAACCTCACTTTTTTTTAACGGTCAAGAGTGTGAGATGCCTTAATCTTCAGTTCTTAATATTCTTTCCCTTTTTGCATTAGCTTACCCTTTTTGGTATAATTACCTTCCTCTAGTGGGTGGTTGTGTGGTAGAATTTGTGATGTTACAGAAAGCAGAGTATTATTAAATACCTCGTGTGTGGGGTTTGGACATCCTAGGAAAGGGCTATTAATGATAGGGTGTTCTAACAGCAAAACAAGACCCCTCAGAGCTGGTCTCAGTGCTGGGATCCTTGTCATGACAGCCTCCAGGCTGAGGGATCTGGCTCCCTGTGCAGTGAGAATATCCCAGTGATTGTAACATCCCCAATTCCTTGTCACAATCCCATGGTGGCAAGTGGATACTGCAGAATGTCAGGCATTTTCTGTGTGTGGTAGGGGGAGGGAGAGGGAAGTTACAGCTTAACAGTCATTTCTCCCATTGGACCTTTTTGAAGCAGAAGTTCACCACAGTGCAGAGGGTATGAGGCAACAGCACAGCCTTGCTGCTTAGCTCCTGTGCCTCACCCACAAGTGCTGTAGGGTGAACTGGTGTGGGGTTTATTATGTAAATGTTTTTATCACAGGGGTGTAAGTAATAGAACAGACACCCTTGCTGCTTCACCATAGGGCTTTTCTTTGATGCCGAGTTATGCTGCATATGACGTTTGCTTAAAGGACTTGGACTGAGCTTTTAAAAAAAGTTTTATAATGCTTAACAAAAGTGTAATAGACGTTTACACTAGTGCAGGGTATATGGGAGGGGTTTTATTTTGGGGGGAGGGTTGTCACTTGTATTTATTGTGACTCTAAATCTTTGATAATAAATGTAAAAAAAATGTTTGCCTTCAAACTGGAATAGAAGTTCAATAGAAGCTGGAATCAATGGCTATACACCATGTCACGGGGGTGGTGTGGGGGACATTTTAGAATCAGAAGGACAATAAAGAAATGGTTAATGTGTGGAGTCTTTTTCTTTTGTCCCCTCTGCCCTGGTTTGGGGCTGCTTGGAGGGGATGGCAGGGTGACCAAACAGGGAAGCAAAGGATGAAACACTTAATTCTTGAGTTTCTTTCAACTTCACTTCTCATGGGATAAAAGTCTACTCCACCTGGTTTGGGTGTGGTAGATTCAGCCTTCATTTCCACCAGAACCCATAGGGCTGGGGGAGGGGTGAGAATGCAAATGGGTTTTGCCTATTTGGCTGGCTCCTAGCCCAGAAAGCATCTGCCCCAGAATGTCAGGTTTTTCCAGAGTGCTTTGCATACTTGGGCATGGCATAGGCTGTAGGATGTTCTAGAAAAGGTTCTAACACAGGTTCTAAGCATAGCCATTGGGTTAGCTCTAAAACAATTCACTGTAAAAACTTGTTTTCAGATGTTGACAAACTTTCAAGTTTGATTCATAAAGTGAAGCATCACCTTGATTGATTCCAATTGCATAAAATATGAACCTGTCTTGGGTGCTTTTATTTTTCTGCTGTTGGCTTGGGGCAGATGACCCTTCCACAGCCACAGCCAATTTGCAGCTTGGAAAAAGGCACAGAGGTGGTAAGAGGCATGATAAATTAACTCCCAAGTGTGTCCCACTCCACCTAGGGCATCCTGACAAGTGTCTCATGCCCCAGTATTAGCCAGAAGTGCACTTAGGCAGTGCTTCCGTACATGCTTTGCAAGGTCAGGCTCCTCAAAAGACCAGGGGTGAGCCTCAGGAGTTTCCTCCACTGAACAAATAGGACACTTTCTGGTCTGGGACTTTTCCTCTCTGAACTGAGTTGTGATTACTGTGGGAGAAATAGGCCCCATTCACACAATCCTCCATGGACAGAAGAAAGCCTGTGACCTGTGCCACACTGCAGGTGCTGAGGTCACACATGTGACAGGGCAAGGAGGGAAAGAGCTGGTTGGTAGGGAGGTTGTGGCCTTTTAGGCCAACTTGAATGTAAAGAAGGAATATGAGTGCGAGGCTCAAGGTCAAACCAAGTGCAAGGTTGAGGATTATGAGGTCTTTGAGCTTCGACAAAGGGTAAGGATGTGGATTTTTGTCTAAATGCAGTGTGATGTTCAGGAAAGCAGACCACAGGCCTCCAGTGAGCTATAGCTCTCCCCAACTTTGACAAAATGAGTTCTTGTCCCCATTTTTCAGGTGAGCAACCCAAGATGCAGTCCGGGTAAGGAAAGGTGTCCTGGTGTAAGCCAGAGGGTTTAAATGTTTTGTCTGAGCCATCTGAAGTGAATCAGCCCGGTAAGGCACTGCCCCTCTTAGCCTCAGTTTCTTCAATTGCAAAGTAAGGGGAGACCCATTCCCAACGCATCTGAGAGCCAAGAAAGTTAAGCAGGGGTGGGGCACACTCAGTCAATAAATGGCTGCTCCCACGGACTCGGGAGCAGGTAGAGTTAAGACTTGAGACATTTGCCATCACTCCAAATTACAGCCATTGTCAGGAAACCCAGTAACAACTCAGGCAAAGTAACTTCCATACTCCTGTAGGTCCTGTGGGGACCCTCTGCAGACCCATACCGTTTCCTCTCCACGGTAGTCACAGGACTTGGGGGAATCAAACCCACCAGCAATCTCCTGTCCGGTCTCACTATCAGTTGATTCCTTGGTAGCACAACTCAGATATCTGCTTTACACCTCTGTATACACACACATACATTCAGGACTACTTAATAATTTTATTTCCATGCCATTCTTGTTTTCACTTCTCCCTGAGGTACGGATGAGCCCTTTTTGCGGAGTCCAAAGCCTGGCAGGTGCTCAAGAAACGGGAATCAAGAAGACCGAACGAACCGGTTAGTCTGGCCCACTCATGACCCAGCCTCGACTCTCCCTTACTGAAGAAAGCTGATGCTATTTCTCCAACCCCAGGGTTCAAATTTTGGTGGAGGTCATAGGTTCCACTCCCTTATTAACGAATTTTGTATCGAGACAGACCCTTGCCGTCCTGCGCTTACACCCCTCGGGAGGGTTTGAGGTCCAATAGTCCAGCACCTCCGTTCCCAACACCGGCCTGTGATGGCTGGGGAACCGCAAAGGCCAGGGTTGCATTCTCCCAACTATTGAGATTTCAAAGGAGTACTCCACGAACCTTTAAAACTTCCCCGGGTAGGGCCCCCTCCCTTCCTGTTCCGTAAACGGGGTTCACTACTAGAGCCAGGTGCTAGGAAGAGCGAGTTTATTGCCAGTTCCACTGGGGGCAGCGGCCGGAGCAAGCTGTCCCCCAAGGCAAGCGCATCCAGCTGGGGACTGGAACCACGCGTTTGCTCGTTCCGCGCAGGCGCAATGATGCGTCTCCTCGTCCCGCCCCATCCCGGGGCCTTCTCGCGGGAGAAACAAGGATTGTCCAAGCGCCCTCCTGCTCTTGGGGTCGTGGAGCAGGAGCTAGATTCCAAGCTGGGGCAACAGTAGCCCGCAGCGGGAATAAAGGGGGTAGAGGGAAGAGGGGAGGTCGCATGCGCAGTGGCGCCTCGCGATTTAGGAAGACCGCGGAGACACGCCTCCGAAGCGGGCGCAGTGCATGCGCAGTGCTCCAAGCGTGGGAAGGGGGAATAGCTGGAGCCCCGGCCGCTAGCCGGAGTCTCCCGAACGCAGCCAGCCATTGCGCGCGACCTGACCGGCCGAGGGCCTGGCCGACGGGCTGAACTGCAGCAGCTCAGCGATTAGGGCCTTGCAGCGCTCCGACAGCTCGAGGCCGTCGGGGTAGAGAACCCCGCGCTTCTGGCGGCGTGGCAGACCAGCGATGTCCGAGTCGTCGAAGGGCATGCATCCGGTGACCATGACGTAGAGCACGACACCCAGGCTCCATACGTCGTACTTCTTAGGGTCGTAGGGGATGCCCAGAAGGACCTCGGGCGATGCGTAGGCCGCTGAACCACAGTAGGTGGTGCTCAGGTCAGGGTAGCCGTGTGCCTGGCGGCCGAAGCCAAAGTCGGTGAGCTTGACGCGGCGCTCGTCTGGGCTCAGCAGCACGTTTTCGCACTTGAGGTCGCGATGCACCAGGTGGTGGTCGTGCAGGTAGCGCACTGCGCCGGCGATCTGGGCGAAGAGATCTCGCGCTTGCCCACCGGGGATACGTCCATTACGCTGCACTGCCTGTAGCAGGTCAGTGGCGGCTGCCTCCATCACGATGTACAGCTTCCCATTGCACACCTCGATGAATTCGAAGACGTGCACAATGTGCGGGTGCCGCACGCCCCGCAGAATAGACAGCTCGCGTGGCAGGAACTTGTTGACAAAGTCAGGCGGTGCACGCCTCCGGTCCACCACCTTTATGGCCACCGTGCCTTTGTACTTCTTGGACGTGGCCACCTTCACCTTGGAGTAACTGCCCTCGCCTATGGTGCGGCCCAGCTTATAGCCGAGTTCGCTTAGAAGTTTGTCGCCCGACATGGTGGCGCTTGGGGTGCGCGGGGAGCAGGAGGCGGCTGCTGTCGGGGGGCGGCCGGACTCCGATCTCGGGCCTAACCCATGGTGCTTGGCACCTGCACACCCGCACCCCCATGTGCCCACTCCCCAGGTCCCCGCCGCCGCGGTACCTTTTATTACCCAGGTAACAATTTCTGCCTTGTGAAGTGACTGCCGGCGTCACCCTGTCTCGGGGTGGGGCCCCCAATCCCACCCACGGGGCCCCCAAAGTCCTCGGGCTTTGTGACTCATATAATTTTGAATGATCAAACTTCCTGATGAGAGTCACTAGTGAGGAGTCCCAACTACCACGGGGCGGGGGGGGGTCTTGGGGGGGGCCGAGCAGAATCCATGTTTAGCATTAGAATGGGGTACTTCGTGAGTATGAAAACAAGCAGCTGGCTGCCCCCAACCTCGTGCACCTAGCCCTGATCTTGTGGAGACCGAAGCTGCCCGCAGAGTTCCCTGAGAGGGAGAACAGGGGCAAGGGGACTTGACTCAGTGACCTGCCTCCCTCAAAGTGGCTGGGGTTTCTGTCTGCCATGTGCATCGCTCCAGGTGGAAAATAACCCGGAGATATTTTAGGGTACCGGCCAGGGCACCCCAACAGAATCCATGTGTTATACCTGATGTGAACAAAAACAAGATTTCAGTAACAGGCGGCACAGTACCCCACGTTCCACCGCCGCTCGCAATCCTCACGTGACGCAGGTTCTCCAACCTCGTTCTAGACTTGCGCGACAGCTTCCGCCGCATTCATCATGGCGGTGCCCTCCATTGCGTAACTTCCGCCCGCGAGCGGAAATGCAAGATCCTGCGAACATGGCGGCGTCGAAGGTGAAGCAGGACATGCCCCCTCCCGGGGGCTACGGCCCCATCGACTACAAGCGGAACCTTCCGCGTCGGGGACTGTCGGGTCAGTGTCACCCTGTGCCTAGGGGTCAGGAGCTGGGCCTGCGGGACGCTGCGGCGGTTGTGGGGTGGGCCTCAGTTTTCTTTACCGTGAGACGGGAGGCAGATCCAGGGGTCCCTGATGGCTTCCTTATGACAGCGACATCTTTGGATTGTCTAGCGCTTACTTCGCTCTTGGCCCCCAGGCAGCCGCCCAGGAGGTTGACTCCGTTAATAATAACCCATTTACAACTGATTAGGAGATTAGTGCAGCCCGTACCCTTAGCCCTAGGCCACACTCCCGCGTCACTAGCTTCACTCATAGGGAAGCTGAGACCCCAGAGAGGCTGCGACCTTCTTCTGGGCCTTCCAGTCCAGCCGGCAACACTGAGGGGATTTTAAAGATGTTCGGTTCTGTGGGTCCTCAATGTTGCTCTATCCCCACCCTCAAACGATGACCCAGGAATATGTCTCATTAAGTTCGTGTTACTGAGTTCAACACATAAAATTTTGAAAGAGCCCCCCCCCCCCCATGGCGCAAAGGTTTAAGGACCGCACCATGAAGCTCTCCGAAGTCCCCTGCAGCACGAGCTCGATCCCCTGCTAGGGAGCTGACCCACATGAAGCAGCCGACCTCTCCTGCCCCACCTGCTGATTCCCTCAGTGGTATATTTCAGTCAGCCTGTTCTGCTCCCCACTCTGTCTCTGGTGAATCCTCTCACCTCCACCCTCCCAACCTCTTGCCTGTACCCCAGTTCTTGTATGAATAGTAAATAAATCTTTTTAAAACAATTTTGTAAGAAAACGGAACACACTCATGTTTTGCATCCAAAATATACGAGTTCAGGTGAATATATTTGTCATAACCCATCAAAGCTTACATTAAAAACTTGTGTATGTTACATAAATTATGCTTCAAAAGACAACAAAAAAATTATGAACATGGTAAAAATTGTAATAGTTCAAACAGTGGAAAAGTTTAAACAGGTGAAAACTCAAGTCTTTCTCTGTGCTTGTTTTTGTGTTTCAGAACAGAGATTGGCAAACTTTTTCTGTAAAGGAGCAGACAAATATTTTGGAGTTGTGGGACAGATGGTCTCTGTCCACTGCTACTGTTTTTGTTATATATATATATATATATAGATATATATATATATATATATATATAATAGTTTATTTTTACGTCATTTTGTGCATTTTTCCATCTCAGTTGTAATCCCCGTGGGCTTCCCATCACCAAATCACCCGTGTGCCATTACCATAGTCGAGTGCATTTCCTTCCCCCTCATTGTTTTTGATCCCACTCCACCCCCATAAAATGTCTCTGGTATATAGCTGTTCATCATTATTATTATTTTCTTGCCTGGTCCATTATATTCCTGCTATGAGTGAAACCATCCAGTATTTTTCCTTTTCTTTCTGGCTTATTTCACCAAGCTTGATCTTTCCAGCTCCATCCTTGTTGCTGCAAAGGCATGTGTTTTTGTTTTTGTTTTTGTTTTTTTTTGGTTGCTGAGTAATATTCCATTATGTGTATGTACGGCATCTTGTGTTTTATTTATTTATTTTTTAACACTGTTTGTCAATATAAAAGTGTTTTCAGCTGAAGAGCCTTACAAAACCAAGGTAGAGGCCAAATTTGGCACCACGTGGGGACTCAGACTTTAGAATAGAATGAAAGAATATAATGTGATCTGTCTCTCTTCATTTCTTTTTCAAGGTACTGTTGTCTTTCATATCCATATGATATATTTGCATATAGCTTATGCACATCCTTCTGTATACTTTAAATCATCTCTAGTAATTTAATACAGTGTAACTGTTCTATAAATAGTTGTTATGCTCTGTTTAGATAATAGTGACAAAAAAGAATCCTTGTTCAGGCTTATAGGCCTAACTAAACATATCCTTAAGTTGTGATTGTTTGAATCCATCAAGGATATATAGCTTGCTGATAGGGAAGACTGACTGTTTCACTTAACACCCAGACCAGTGAACCCCTCCTGTGTCCCATAAGATTTGTTTACAGATGTACATCCATGTGATTAGCACCTAGACCAGCCTGCAGAAGGATCCCATTCCTTAGACCTCACTGCAGGTCCCTCAGTCAGTATCTCTTTTTCTTTTTTTGAAATTTATTTAGATATATAAGAACTGGGGTACAGGCCAGAGGTGCAAGGGGCGAGAGTATTCACAGAGACAGAGTGGGGAACAGAACAGGTGATTGACTAAAGTACGCTGCTGAGGGGAGCAGCAGGCAGAACAGGAGAAGTCTGCCTCACATGTGGGTCAGCTCCCTGACCGGGGAGCAAACTTATGCTGCACATGCTGCAGTGGCTGCCAATAGCTTCATAGTACTGCACTTTAGCCCCTTGCACTCCAGGGAGGGCCCCAGCATCTCTTTTCATTTGTATATTATAAACAATACCTTTATCCCAGTTTTCTTCCTATTTATGACACAGCAGTGCTTCCCATGTGCCCTAAATACTGTGCCTGAGATTGCATCTCTGAATCAATCCTTGCTGAAGCATTTACAAACCCACCCCCTTCTGGTGGGTTTGTCTCTGTACCTACTATATTCAGTAACTAGTTGTCAAGTGTGCTTATAGTACTAGGCCCTGATGCGTCCTGAGTTCACAACCCAGCTGAGGATTCAGACGTATCACATCGTGATTTTGCATTGTGATAAGAATTTGGAATAACTTGGGCCTTCTTCAGACCAAAGTAGTCTGAAGGGAAGTGTCCGAGGAGTCCCTAAGTGGAGGGAACAGCAGGGTCAAAGGCCATACTCATCCACCCTGGGCCTCCCTCAAATTGCATCTGTCCCCTGGGCCTCCCTCAAATTGCATCTTTTGAGCCATGATTCCCCAAAAGTGACAATCTTTTCTGTCACCCAGCTCTCCACTCCCTTCTACACCCAGCAGGCAGGATTTTTTTTCTTAGGCCTTCAACCATTTTTATTGAAAGTCATGTAACATCTCTCCATGGTGGCACAATGGGTTAAAACTCTGCACTATGAAGCTATCACAGCCACTGTAGCACGAGATTGATCACCAGCCAGGGAGGCAACCCACATGGCATGGCAGGCCTCTCCTGACCCACCTGCTGCTCCCCTCAGTAGTATAGATCATTGATCTGTTTGTTCCGCTCCTGACTGTCTCTGGTGAATCCTCTCACCCCCACACCTCTGGCCTGTACCCCAGTTCTGTATGCATAAATAATAAGTCTTAAAAAAAAGTCACATAACATTTTGTATAGCTCATACATTTAATGTATACAAAGCACTAACTTTTTAAACTCTGCTCACAGTTGTGTGAACATCACCATGATTTAAATTTAGAACACTTTCATCACTTAAAAGGAGACTCCCATTCCTTCATCATGACTGGGGCTAGAGGGGCAGGAGGAGGGGCCTACCCCCACTTTCTTTTTGTCAGTGTATTATCTGATCTGGACATTTCACATAGCTGGAATCACACAGTAGGTGACCTTTTGTGTCTGGCTTCTCTCACTCTTTTTTTTTTTTTTTAAGATTTATTTTTATTTATGCATACAAGACCAGCGGTGTGGGGTGGGGGTGGGCAAGGAGAGTTGAGAGGATTCACCAGAGACAGAGTGGGAAGCAGAACAGGCAGCCCTACTGAAATACACTGCTGAGGGGAGCAGCAGGTGAGACATGAGAGGTCGGTGCTATGTGATCCCTGGCCTGGATCAAATTCATGCCACAGTGGCTGTCAGTAGCTTGATAGTGCTAAGACTTAGACCCCTGCACTACCAGGGAGGCCCTTTTCTCAATCAGTTTTTGAGGTTCTATGTTTTCGTGTATGCCAGAGCTTCCTTTTTATGTCTGAATAGTATTCCATCCTGTGACCAGACCACATTTTATGTATCCATTTACCAGTTGAACAATTGGGTTATTTCCACCTTTTGGCAGTTGTTTAACAGTGCTGCTTTGAACATTCCTTTACATGTTTCTGGTCAAGATGGTTTCATTTCTCTTGGGTGAAATTTCACCCAGGAGTGGAATTTTCTGGTTTATATAAGTCTACATTTAACATTTTGAGACACTACCAGCCTTCCAAATTGACTGCACCAGTTTATGCTCTTACCTGTAACATATGGGAGTTTCAGTTTTTCTACACCTGAACAAGACTATTTGCCCTTATTTTTAAAATTTTAACCATGCTAGTGGGTGTGAGGTGTATTTCATTATAGTTTTGATTTGCATTTCCTTGGTGACTAATGGTGTTGACTATTACGTGTCCATTGACTGTTTGTGTAGCGTCCTTGGAAAAATTTCCGTTCACGACCTTTACGCATTTTTGAATTGGGTTGATCATCTTTTCATTTTTGAGTTTTAACAGGTCTTCATATATTTGGAATGCTGCTCCCTTATCAGATAAATATGACTTATACTGTTATTATTTATACAGATACGTGATTTATGTTTAATAACACAGATTTGTGTTTGTATCTATACAACTGAGCTGAAATTCTGCTGATTGATGGTGTCTTTTGCAGGACAAAAGTTTTAAGTTTAAGTTCATCTGCTTTTTTCTTTTATCTTTTGTGCTTCTGGTGTCATATCTAAGAAACCATAGCCTCATCCAAGGTCATGGAAACTTCCTTCACTGTGTTGTAAGGGTTTTATTGTTCTAGCTCTTACATTGAGGTCTTTCATACATTTTGAATTAATTTTTGTGTTTGGGGGAAGGAGGGAGCACACTTTATTCTTTTTGTATGTGTCTATCCAGTTGCCCAATTTGCTGAAAAGGCTGTTCTTTCCCATTGAATTGTTTTGGCACACTTGTCCAAAGTCAATTGACCATAAATGTTAGGGTTTATTTCTGGAATCTCAACTCTGTCCCATCAATGTAAGTATCTAGCCTTATGACAGTGCAGCTCTCTCTTGTACACACAGCTGTGGATGGTGAAGTTTAGTTCTCCAACTTTGTTCTGTTTCAGAATTGTTTTGGCTATTCTGGTCCTTTGCATTTCCTATGAATTTCACCATCTGCTTGTCAATTTCTGCAAGGCTAGTGAGGGAAAGGTTGGGATTCTGGTGAGGGAGGGGTAGGTTGGGATTCTGGTGGGGGAGATTGGGATTAATGGGAAGGAGAGTCAGGATTCTGATGGAGAGGACATTAGGGCCTGATGAGGACAGCATTGATTCTGGACCTCAGTTTGGGACTGCTGCTGTCTGAACAATGTTAAATTTCAATCCTTGAGAAAACAACATGTGTTTCCACATATGTAGGTCTCCTTATACATGACCAAATACCCTTCTGGCTTCCTCCTTGCTGGCCTCTACACCTGACTGGCAGCTTCAAGGCACACACACCCTGAGGGCCTTGGCCTTCCCACCCCCAAAGGAGAGATGAGTTATTGCCTATATCATTCTAAAGGCCATTTTGGACCTTCACTTGGGTCTGGGTAAGAAAGGAGGCCTCTGGGTCCTTCTGCTGCTGTTGGAAGCTTGAGGTGGTTCTGCAATGCTCTGTCCAGAGAGAAAACATTGAGAGAACAGGGAACTGGTCTGGGCACTTAGACCTCTTGGAAGATGGCTTGCCTTTGAGCAAACATAGGAATCAGGGTACCCTCACTTCTCAGCTCGGATACCATGGAAGTATCTCAATGCAAGCTCTCATTTTTAACAGGTTGAATGAACTAGGTAGGGTTAATGACAGAGCCAGCTTGTCATCCCTCTCCACATCCAACAGAGGTTTCTGTGCTGGAGCACAGAAGAAAAAACTGAAGAAAAAAGATAAGGGCAGGGATATGGGCGGTCCTTGCAGATACCACATAGAACCCAGATTCTCAGAGCCCTGACACTGCCCTTCTATTCACTCAGGGTTATCTGGAAGTAGAACTGTCCCAGCAACCGCCAGGCTTGTGCAGAGAAGAAAGTGGAAAGATGAGGGCCTTGGGCAAGCCAGCTCCAGTCAAGCCTCAGGAGATGGGCCCTTCTTGAAGACCCCAGCAGGCCCCCAGCCTGGCAGTCAGGATTACAGTGGGAGAGCCTGCTGTTGCTCATTAATATTCATGGAAGCCTGTCCCCCTGAGTCTGGGCAGGAGGTTTCACCCCACTAAGCTGAGAGGCAGCAATACCCTCAGGGTGCTCAGGGGTGATTGGGCATCTCTGCAGGACATTGCCTGTTTCTGGCAGCTCTGTCCAGCTCCCTGTGGGCAGCATACAGAGAGGTAACCCAGGCATCTGGGAGCTTCTATGAAGCGGGACCTAACTGTGGACACTGTCCTTCCCCATGGGACCAGCCCGCTGACTGCAAACATAAACATCTAGACCCTTGGGCCCTCCCACAGTCATTGCCCACCAGTACCTTCCAGAAGCCTCAGCATGGGGGCAGAGGTAAGAGAAGCTGAGGCAGCCCGCTGCTCTGCCTGCTGAGTGGGTGAGACAGCAGTCAGCAGCTGCTGAGGAGCAGGCCTGAGGATGAGGGCCAGCGGGCATGCTCAGAAACAAAAATGTAATCTGAAGAAATGGGTATCCGTGATGGTGCTGGTATCTGTGAGTAGGATGGAGGAGGCATGAGGGGTTTCATTCATGCTGCTGGAGAATTTACACAGTGATTGGATGATGCTTCACAAGAAGAAAGGACAGGGTTGCCTTTCTGCCATGTGCTGAGTCTGTGGCCCTTTCCCCACAGGCTACAGCATGTTTGCTGTGGGCATTGGGACCTTGCTCTTCGGGTACTGGAGCATGGTGAAGTGGAACCGGGAACGCAGGTAGGTCCCCGTCTGGGGGAGGGGATACATAAGGCCCTACCATCCTTTAGGCCCTGAATATGCAGCACTGACCCAGCAGGTCTACACCTGGTCTTTACCCTCAAGAAATGAGTAGTAAACCTGGGGGCTAGTTACCTGTGGGGGTGGGGGGTGGGATGGGTGTGGGAGGGGCAGGTAGGGAGGACAGGCTGGGAGTGTTCTCTTAGTGTTATCTTGTGGGTCATGAACAGACAGCAAGTTAACAAGACCTCAGAAAGCAGTCCATGTGAGACAATGGCCTTTTATCCATCAGGGCTTGCAGTGGCTTCTGTTTTCACTCAGCTTCCTCATTTCATCCAGATACCCTGCCAGGTGGCCCCTCATTGCATACCTCCTTGCCTCCCCCACCCCCCACTTCTACACTTAGTACCCCCTTGTCCCTAGTACCCTGTTGAATTCTCTTACTTGTGCCCCCACCCACCACCATCACAGGGCAGGGAATTCTGGTGGTCAGGACTGGAGCAGGCCCAGCAAGTGGAGGCTGCTGGACACAGATGAACTCAGGAGTACCTAACTTGAGTTGAGGCCTGGCCCAGACTCCCAGGATGCACCACCTTGGGGAGATGTACACAGCCACTACCCCATTGTACAACTATGGTGGGGACAGTGGTTTGGAAGGATTACTACCCTGGGCATGAGGAGGGGTAAGTGAGTAGAGAGGGCAAGAGGGGCTGGAGAGGGAACTTAATTTTTACCCTGGGATGCTGTGAGACTCCTTATAATAAGAGAATAGAGCCAGAGGGCCACATCACTGGGTATGCAGGCTCTGCCTGCCCTTTGATACCCCAGTTATTTTGAGACAATAGGACATGGTTTTGTAAGGCCCAGAGTCCTGTGCTGAACATTCCCTGTACCACAATTATCAGGCCTAGGCTATTTTGGGGATTAAAAAAAATTTTTAATTGAAAAGAAAGTGTGAAGCCAGCAATCTTGTGAACCAAAGCCTGCATCATCTTCCTACCTCCACCCTCATCTTGGGCCCCTATAGGCAGATTCAACTGCCCGAGGCTGTATCCAAAGGCTTACCTCATCCCCAACCCTTCCCACCCATTACCCTGGGTGTCTGGGCCCCTCCACCCTCCCTATACATCACCCTAGGTAGTCCCAACTCCACCCTGGTCTGATCTGGGTATTGGTTTTGGATTTGCAGGCGCCTACAGATTGAGGACTTTGAGGCCCGAATTGCACTGATGCCGCTGTTTCAGGCAGAGAAGGACCGGAGGTTGGATTGCCACAACCAGGGGCAGAAGGGCATGGACCTGCGTGCTTTGACTTAACAGCCAAAATGCAGAGAGACCCCCAGCAGATACCCAAGTGGAAGGGCAGGAAGGGGTGTTGGGCTGAGGCAGAAGGGTCATTATGTGCAGGATGGACAGGGGGAGGTGATGGGGTAGACCAGAGGGGAATTAGTACCTTTGGGAGAAGCTGGAGCTTGTCCCCCACCTCTCCTGCTATCACTGTAGGGTCCTGCGGATGCTCCGGGAGAACCTGGAGGAGGAGGCCATCATCATGAAGGATGTGCCTGACTGGAAGGTGGGTCTGGGAAGGAAGGGTAAGAATAGAAAACCCAGAACCCGGAGGGGTACTGGGTGTCCAGTGTGAGGATGAGGTAGCAACAGCCTGTGATGTACCCACAGTGGCTATCAGACCTGGTGAAGTGCACTAACCCATACCCATACCACTGTCCCTGCAGGTGGGCGAGTCCATGTTCCACACAACGCGGTGGGTTAACCCTATAATGGGTGAGCTGTACGGGATGCGCCCCAACGATGAGATTGTCAATGCCACCTACGGCTTTATATGGTACACGTAGAGCCTGCACCCCTTGGATGTCTGCACCCTAACCCCTCCCTACCAGAAGAGAATAAAGACTCTGGAGACCACCCATCTGTGTCCCGGGGACTGAGTTACTTAGGTGGTGGGTGGGGTTGTCACAAACAGCTTGAATGCTCAGTTTGAAGACTTGGGAGGGGGGCCTCAAACCACCCAGAAGCTGTGCCCGAATTCACTACCACCTTGGGCCCCCAAACATGCTTGAGCCCTCACCTCATTGTTGAGACCCTTCCAGACTAGGGGCTTCATAAGGGTGTGGAGGTGGATTGGGAGCCCAGATAGCTCAGGGGCATAGGGGAGCTGTAGAGTTGTTCCTTGCCCCCAGCTCAAAACCCCATACCCCAGTGGCCTGCCTATCACTGCCTTCAGCCTTGGTTTTCCTGCCAACGACTCTCTGGACACCACCCACACCTCGGGTTCCCTCAGCACCAAAGGGTTAAGTCAGCCGCGCCCTCTGGCCAATGGGTTCGTGCAGCGCCCTCTCAGTGTCTCCTGATTGGCTGATGCGAGGTGGGTGGATGGAGGGGTGGGCGCTCCCTGCCCCAGGATGCGCTTAAAAGGCCGTGAGGCTGGCTGCGCACTCCGGCTCGGCTCGCTTCGGCCATGAGCAGCTCAGACCCGGTGGAGGCGCCCGAGGAGCGGCAATTCCTCAGGTCAGTTGGGGTTTCCACAACAGTTGAGGACATGGGTGAAAGGGGGCTTGGGGTAATGGATTGGATGCAGACCATAGGTAGGGAGCAGGGATTTGGTGGGCATAGATAAGAGGCTGAGACATGGGTGGGGTGGCACCAGTGGACATGGGCAGGACACCGCAAAATAGATGGGGATGTGACTTGGAAGGGACCCTGCAGAGTGGGTTGGGGCATCCCAGCCCCATCCCAGATTTCACTGAAGAGACTAAGCCAGTCTCCAAGGCCCGCAAAGCCGTGTTGCTGGGGAAACTGCCTTCATGGCAGGCCCACCCCTTGTGAATTATTCATTAAGCTGTGACTTCACCTATCTTGCCTATCACCCCCAGTCAGGACCCATCTTCTTATACCTCAGTTGCAGGCACTATGGAAACCTAGTTCCCCACCTGGTAAGAATAACATTTTTTTAGCTCAAATGATCACATCCCTGGGTGGTCCACCCCTTGTCCATAGGATACTGAGAGGTAGAGGAGGAAGTCAAGCCGGAGCCAGGCTTGGATGAATTCTGAACACGTGGCCAGGTGCCAGTGGGTTGGTGAATTTAGGGTCTGGATCTGGCAGCTGTGGCCTTGTTTTTCACCATGTTCCAAGTGGTGCTCCTGTATCCTCTAACGTCTGCCATATAATCCCAGCAGGACTGTGGACCTCACCACAAGCCAGCTTCTTGTTTGACCCTATGTTCACTCTTCTCAAGCCAATACAAACCAGTGACTCAGTCTAGAGACCTAGCACACCTAGGCAGGGGGAGGAGAGTATCCTGGAAGCTGGAGCTGTGACTTCAGCTGCTGTGGGGGTTGGTGGGGTGCTTAGGAGTGGGTAGTGGAGGAACTAGCAAGCGGAGAGAAGGCAGGGAGATTGCAGACATAATGGGGTATGTGTGGGCTTAGTGAAGAATTTGAATATTCTCAGTACTGAGGAGTTGGGGATGGAGTGATATGATCTGCCATTCAAATTTCAAACCCCCAGAACTTGTAGTGAATTTGGGGGGCATGAGATTGCTGGAGGCATCACATGAGCATAGTAGGGGACTATTGGGTAGAAGCATGAGGTGGAAAGGAGCAGATACAGCTGAAAGCAGGGAGGATCTGGTATGAGCACTCACCTCAGGGCCCTCCTCAGCCTCTGGAAAGTATCATGGGAGGGCCAAGCCCCGGTCCCTTGGTAACTAGAACATCTTAGCCCTTCTGGGGCTGACAGGCTAATCCTGGGTCCTCACTATTCTCTATAAGGTGAAGTTGGGAGAAGCAAGATGCATCCTTAAATGTCACCTCCCTCCCCCCAACCTCTACCCATGACATCTCTGCCCTGTATCCCTCCCATACTGCTTATATCCCATCCGGACCTACTGCTGCCCTGTCACTTCCCCCTGCTGGGCTCCCAGCCTAGACTGCTCTCTGCCAAGGAGTCCCCATTATCACTCTAATCAGTTAGTCAGGAAATAATGTTCCAAGTGGTGGCCAGAGGCCAAAGCTTGAAGGCACAGGAATAAGAGGAGGAATGGAGTTTTCCCACCCTCCTCCATGATCCTTCCCTGAGGGAGCAGCTAGAGCTATCATAAAATGAAGGAGGATGTATGCGCCATACTCTTAAACTCTCCTCTGATGTTCTTCCCTGGGAACCAGGCCTGCCTGGGGGCATCTTGCCTCTGGTCCCATGAGTTTTACCCCACTTAATCCTTTAACCTCATCCCACATAGGCTGCAGTCAAACCTGGGGTTGAGTCTAGGAGTGATATCACCTCCCTTCCCTAAGCATCCATCTCCATCTGTGTATGTCCCTCAGAAGTGCTTTCTTGACCCAGTTTCTTAGTATTGTTCACTCTGCTACCGGCACATGGGTCTCTCATCTATTTCTTGAACACATCAAGCTCATTCCATCACTGGGCCATGGCCCTCAGTGTTTTTGCCACCTGGACTACCTCCCATAGTTCTCCAGGCCTCCAGGAAACCTCTTGAATTCCCATCACTTGGCGTTCCTTGTTCCCCACCTACACCCCTCCTGCTGCCCTGGAAGCTGAGCTGCAAAATTGGCTAGAAGACTGTGGTCTTCTGCTCAAAGAGGAATCTCAGGATTCATTCCACCAAACTTCTGCCATCTGTAGTCTGCTTCTGCCTTGCTCACACCCTGTGTGCGGTCCTTGAGATGGACCGTAAAGGTGGGAACCCTGTCCTGAATGACCCTGGGCACATCACTTACCTTCTTTTTCCTAAGCCTGGTTCTTTTGTTATCATTATTGTTATACACACTCTGGGGTCACTGAGCTGGGGGTAGAGGACCTGCCTAGGGGAAGCTGGTATCAGGTGTTAGTTCTGCCCAGCCTTCTGAATCTGAGTTTGGAGTGAGAAACAACTTCAGATGCTCAATGCCTGTTCTCTTTTGCTGCGGACACAAAGTACCTGCTCCTTGGAAGCCCTTGAAACCAGGAAAAGCTTGGTCCCGACACCTGTAAGGGTTCAATACTTGGTTTAGTGCTCTGCTGTCACCACCTTAAAAAAAATTAAAAAAAAAAGATTTATTTATTTATACATATAAGAACTGGTGTATAGGCCAGAGGTGTGGTGGGTGAGAAGATTCACTAGAGACAGAGTGGGGAGCAGAACGGGCAATTGAAATACACTGCTGAGGGGAGCAGCAGGCCAGACAGGAATGGTGGGTCACTTCCCTGGGGGGATTGAACTCCGGCCACAGTTGCTGGGGATGGCTTCATAGTGTTGCCTTTAACCCATTGTGCCACCAGAGAGGGCCCTCACCACCTTAAAAATTCTTGAATTTTTAAAACTTTATGTATAAAAGAGCTGGGGTGTAGGATCGAGGTGCTGATAGAGTGGGAGCAGAGCAGGTAGATTGAAACAAACTGCTAAGGGGAACATTGGGTGAGACTGGAGAGGTCTGCTGTGCCCTGTGGGTTAGTTGCATGTGGGTCACTCCCTGAACAGGGATGGAACTTAGGTGGTTGCAGTGATAGCTCTGAGCTTAACCTCAATGCCACCATGGAGGTCAAAATTCTTAATATTTTTAAAATAAGAGACCCCCCTACACTTGCATTTTGCACTGGGCTTCAAAAGATCCAGCTTGTGGTCCCTTCACATTCATGAAGAAAATGCAGCTCAGAGAGATAAGATAGTGAGTCAGTGCCCAAACCTTACATCAAGTGAATTGACCCTATCTGACCATAATTATTTTATCACCTCCCCTAAAGACAGGTTGTCATTGGGGCTCATAACTGCCTGGAGTGAGCCATCAAACTCCTTGGCAGCCTTCCAAGCTCAACGACCTACACCCCCTAACCCCCCAATGCAGTCAACCCCTCCAGTTACCTGGAGTTTGCTTAGTAGTTCCACTGTCTGAAATCCATCTATCACCTCCATCAAAGTCCTTCATTCTTCATTTCCCCTTGTAGTTTCCTCCTGCCTTGGGGGTCCTGTACCTAGGCAGGATCTAGTTTTCCTGAGGCCTGGGGCAGTAGACCCAACTGGTGCCACCATGGTCACCAGAGGGCGCCCGTACCTCAGGCTCCGACTCAAAACTCTTGCTCCCAGTGATGTGTGTCATTCAATGATGTGTGTCACATGGGGAAATGGGGGATGCTTTGGGCTACAGTAGCTGCATAAGGATGGGCTAGAACATTGGTGGAACATTTCTGGTTCTGTCTCTAAGCCTTTAACTGTCTGTATTTCTGACTATCACTGCCCACTCTATCGCTCAGCACAGCGGAGGCGGCTGCTCTGGAGCGTGAGCTACTGGAGGATTATCGTTTTGGGCGTCAACAACTGGTGGAATTGTGTGGTCATGCTAGTGCTGTGGCTGTAACCAAGGTACTTGAATCCTAATCTCTGACCTTGACCCCATCCAGTCAGGCAGTGCCCTTGTACCACAGCCTAGTGCCTCTGAGGCTAGGATGGTCCAGCTCATCTCTCAGATGGAGAAACTGAGACCCAGAGAGAATCATCACTTCTGGACGGGCAGGGCCCAAGATTCATAATATCAGCTAGGGTTAATCGAAGATGGGGGTCCTCAGAGAAGTGGACATTGGGGGAATCAAAGACTGAGACCACCACAGACATGCAAAGACAAGTCTGGGTTCCTTTTTTTTTATTTTTTAAGATTTTATTTATTTTGTTTAGAAGAACTGGGGTATAGGCCAGAGCTGCAGGGGGTGAGAGGATTCACCAGAGACAGAGTGGGGCGCTGAGCAGTCAGATCTACGGAAATACACTGCTGAGGGGAGAAGCAGGTGGGACAGGAGAGGTCTGCTGTGCCATATGTGGATCACCTCTCTGGTGGGGATTGAACTCAGATGGTTGCAGTGACAGTGCTGAGATTCAACCCCTAGGCCACCAGGGAAGCCAAGACCTGGATTCCGTAAGGGTGCCTGTCAGCTATTAACTTCCCTTTGATGGAGCCAAACAAGTTGGGGAGAGCAGAGTCACCAGAGAGTCAGGGTAGGCCTGGAACAGAAAACCAGTGCTCATAACTACTGAATTAAAGAAGAGGATATATGTGCTCTCCCTGGTGTTACAACAGGTTAACGTGCAGCCCTATGAAGCTGTCTGCAGCCACTGCAGCATGAATTTGATCCCCTGGCCCGGGGGTGACCCACACTGCACAGCAGACCTCTCCTGTCCTGTCGGCTGCTCCCCTCAGCAGTGGATTTCATTCAGTCTGCCTATTCTGTTCCCCACTCTGTCTCTGGTGAATCCTCTCAACCTCTGTATCGCTGGCCTATACCCCAGTTCTTTTATAATATACATATATAAACAAAATCCTTAAAAAAAATAAAGAAGAGGTTATATGCACAGGTTCCCAAGGGCATAGAGCCTGAGAGACATACTGAGAGGATGAGATACAGAGACAAAGACAGACACTGGAGGAAGGTGATGAGGAGAGACACAGTCTGAGACAGAAAGAGGTGAAATAGGCAAATGGAAGGAGAGAGGAGGAGGGCATGTCATGGTAGGTTGGAAAACTACTCCCCTCTGCCCTCCTCAACTTTGGGGCCTCTGGGAGGGGCCAAGGCCTGGAGACATGGGTGGGGAAGGAGCAGCCAGTATGGTGGAAAAAAGTGGAAGAATGTCTGCAACTCAGGCTGAGAATAAACAAACCACTCTCAGTTCCTGCAGTAGGAAGCACGTTTTCCTGCTTGGATTTGGCAGAGCCTGAGGCAAGGAGTCTGTGACTCCAATGAGGAAAGTGAAGCCCTCAGATGCCCTGCCTCTCCCCAGAATGCCCTTACCTTCCATCCAATACCATCACTTGATCCAAGCCCTGTTCCCATTGCTACTCTGGGCCTCAGTTTCCCCCCCTGGATGAGGAGGAATTCTAGTGCCATGCTTTGTCTTTGCGGTGTCCCTTGCCAGGTGTTCCCCTTGCCTGCTCTCTCCCGGAAGCAGAGGACAGTACTGGTGGTATGCGGCCCGGAGCAGAATGGGGCTGTGGGATTGGTCTGTGCCCGGCACCTGCGGGTGTTTGTGAGTAGCAAGTACCCCTTCAGCCTCCCAGGGTCACACCCACTCTGTCCATGCAGAAATTACTTCTTCCCCTTCATGTTACCCCAGGGGGACATTGAAGCTAAACAGGTCACAGAATATGCCCACAGAAATTGCCTTGCCAATGGTGGGGTCTACTGCCTGGTACCCAGATCTGGGGACTAAGGGTCAGTGGAGAGGATGAGAAGGTCCCAGGTCTGACCTCTTCCTGCCCCCCTGCAGGAGTATGAACCAACCATCTTCTATCCCACACGCTCCCTGGACGTTCTACACCAGGACCTGACCACCCAGTGTGAGAAGATGGACATCCCCTTCCTTTCCTATCTGCCCACAGAGGTCAGCACTCTTGGCAACTGGGGTGGGGAGGTGGGGGACAATGCCCCAAGGCTGCCTCCTGACCCTTCCTGCCCACCAGGTCCAGCTCATCAATGATGCCTATGGGCTAGTAGTGGATGCCGTGCTGGGCCCCGGCGTGGAGCTGGGTGAGGTTGGGGGCCCCTGCACACGTGCGCTGGCCACACTCAAGCTGCTGTCCATCCCCCTTGTGAGCCTGGACATTCCTTCAGGCATGCCAGGTGGAGGGGGGCATGTTTGGTCCTGGGGGCTAGGGTGGAGTCTCCCAGTATCCCAGCTTCTGACAACCCCATCTGACTGTCAGCCCTGAACCTTAATTTCCCCAGCATGGATAGATGGCGTATCCTGGGTGAGGGTGAGGGACAGGTATCCATCCCTTGGACAGGAAAAAGGTTGATGCCTAGGTGACCCCAGGTTCCCTCCCTCCCATGCCCAGTCCTGTGTGCCTGCTGCCTACCCTGGCCCAGTCTCCCGGGCAGACGTGAGCTCACTCAGCAAAGGCCTCGCCCATCCTGGCCGCCGCCCCATGCCTGTTGGAGCCATTAGGCAATGGGCAGATGGAACAAACAGTCGCTGGCCAGCCGGACCCTTCACAGGAGTGGCAAGACTCAGGGATGCCCCTGGGTTTGCAAGACCCTGGAGCCATCCCATCAGGGTGACATGGAACTGGATAGGAGGGCCGATGGAGGAGGTGGACTCTCAGGTCTGAGGCTTCAGGCTCAGTCTGAATGGATAGCCAGAGACAGAGAGGGTAGCCCTGTTAGGTCAAAGAGGGCTATTAAGTGTCTCTAGTCTGGGGGTGGAGGCTAGGGTCCGAGAATGAAGGGCTAAAATCAGAGGGAGGAGGCCCCAGCTCAGGATAGAGGCAGGGAAGAAGTCAGGACCCCTAATCTGTGAGTGGAGGCCCAGTTGAGAAGTTCAGTGGTGGGGAGTGGGGAGAGTCATGTCATGCAAAGAAAGGATCTAGCCAAAGTGAAAGATGTCAGGTCAGAGGAAAATCTCTAATCAGAGGGAAGGGGATGGGGACTCAAGTTGGGGTGGGGAGAGCGGCATATCCTGTCAGAGGCAAGAACCTGGAGCAAGGAGACAGGTCTGATGAGGGAGGTCTGCTTTAGGGTGCAGGCAAGTCTCTAGTCAGAGGGGAGGCTGGTCTTGAAGTCTGGATGGGAAGACCCATTGTTCCAAGTAACGGGATTGAGAGGAGGGAGGTATGGGGACAGGCAGGGGTCAGCAAGTAGAGTTGCGGGCCTGAGTGGGAAAGGGCAGCAGGTGAAACTGATGTAGTCTGAAGATAGAGGCCGAGTCAGATGCAGGAGGAAGGTTAGCAGGATGGGAGCAGGGCCAGGAAAACATGAGGGCAGAGGCTCTGGTCAGAGGGAAAAGGAATCACCTCCAAGGATGGGAAGTGACCGGTGGAGGGTGGAGGTTCAGTTCTTTGGGGAGGCAGGTGTGACCAAGACTCACGTATCAGAGCAGAACCTGGGTCTCACCCGGAAGAGGAAGTGGGTGTCGGGGCGACGGGACTCTCCTCTGACGGTGACCCTCTCCCGCCCTCCTCCCTAAGGCTGGGACGCGGAGACGGGCGGCGACGCCGAAGACGGGCTCCGGCCCGACGTGCTGGTATCACTCGCGGCGCCCAAGCGCTGCGCAGGCCGCTTCTCCGGGCGCCACCACTTCGTGGCCGGTAGGTTCGTGCCCGACGACGTGCGCCGAAAGTTCGCCCTGCGCCTTCCAGGGTACTCGGGCACCGACTGCGTTGCGGCGCTGTGACCGTGACCGCCCCCGTGCCAATAAACGTGTTCCTCTGCCGCCCGGCTCAGTCTCCTCTGTCCGCGGGGCCGCCGTGAGGGTGGGCAGCCTCTGGAGGCACTTCCCACAGTCTGGTGGAGGGTGGAGGAGAAAAAGAGAGGGGAGACTTGCAGCTTGCTTGGTGGCCAGTAGCCAATCGACTGAAGTTAGACTGGAAAGAGGATTTCCAGTCGCGGAAAGCGTGGAGTTTCGGGCGGCTTCGGGCTCAACTCCAAGAGGCTCTTCCTGCAGGCAGCTTGAGGAGGATGAAGGGTGGGCTGTGAGAGGGACTCTAGCCGACCGAAGGAACGGAACTCAGGTCAGCCTGGGGGCGGAGGCACAAGCGGACAAACCCAGGGGGCGACCCATAGTGGTTGCTAGAGTACTGAAGTCACCCGGGGGCAGGAGGCGTGGCCGTAGGGCGTGGCTTGTCGTGGGTTCCCGCCCACACCCTCTGCCTCCTGCTAAACCCTCCCGAGCCAACCCCAGCTCACTGTGGAGCCAGGAGTTTCCCTCCGATGCTCAGAACCGGCCATGGCATCACCGCCGCTACTGCTCTGCTTCCTTATCGCCGCTGCGCTGCTGGCGGGGGCCCTAGGTGAGGCGCCCCCAGACCCCAGCCCAGCCCTGTAGGCACCGAGTGTCTGGCAGCAGCTTGACTTGCAGCCGGGCCTGGAGAAAGAACCCAGGGACTGATCTCTTCCCCAGGCTGGCCTGGTGGCAGAGTAAGGGGGGAGCTAGTGAGGGGGGCAACGGGAGAGAATCTGGGGTGGGGAGGGTCACCTTTTGCTCTCTGCCCTCCTGGAAGAGACGCTAGGGGCACCCGAAATGTAGATTTGGACAGCAGGTTCCTTTGGGTTCCCCGGGACTGCAGGGTGCTCTCTGAACCCCAGTGTAAGGATCCTAAAGCATCCTTTGGCCCCTGGTGAAGAGGACAGAGCCATTGCTTCCCAACTCCCCCTCCCACACACATACCACTCAGAAAAGAAATTTCTATCTCCTGTAATTTCAGTAGTGCAGGGAACTGGGCCCATATCTCAGATGAAGAGATTGAGGCCCCAAGAGGGAAGGGGATTATCAGAGGCCATCACCCAGCCCAACTACCTCAGAGAACTTCAGGCAGAGAATCCAAGTTAGATTCCAAGGGCTTCCTACTGACAGCTTGAGTCTGGAGTGCAGGGAGGGAAGGTACTGAGGGATGGACTTCCAACCCTCCAAATGTGGGAATGCAGACCAACCTGGAGGTAGAGGGACAGCTGGCTGAACTATCAGTTGATGAAGACACCCTGGAGGAAAAATGGATCTGGAGAAACTCCTCTAGACCATAGTGTGGGGGCTGTCAGAAGGAAATAAGGGTTTTGGGGAACAGTCGGGGAGGTCATGAGGCTTCTAGAGGAGGAAGCACTATAGTACTTGGGTTTGGCTTTTCATACCCTCAGTTTCTCCTCTGTGAAATGGGGGTGATTGGATAGCACTTTGCATAAAAGGAATCCATAGTGGTCCCAACAGTATGCTTCCGCCCACCCCCACTCCTCCCTCAGGCACGACCACCACTGAGGAGCCCACAGCATCCTCATCATGGGGCCCTGAAGGTCCAACACTCGGTCCTGGCCAGCCCTCACCAGCCCTGGAGGACTGGGAAGGTGAGTCAGCCTGTGACTGAGTACTGGCGCTCCCATGGACTCACTGTGTGAGCTCTGGCTGGTGGGGGTCACATGAGGAGAGGATACAGGTTAGGTGAAGAGGCAGAATCCCTGGATATGGCAATTCCTAGTAGTGGTACCCTGGGAGGTCTAAGTTTTAGGAGCAGGGAGTAAAAAAGTCCAGGCTGTGTGCCAAGAAAGAAGCTGGGGGTAGGGTGGGGTGGTGGGCCAATCTTCTCAGGTAAGGCAAGGACCTAGGCATTCTGGAAACTGGGGTTGATAGAAGCAGATGACCTGTGGGAAGGTCAGGCCCTTTTTCCAGTTGCTTCTGCTTCAGCAGAGATTGCCCCAGGGGTTTAAGCTTCCAGATGGTTCTCACCAGAAGCTGCCAGGCCTAGAAAGCCACAGCTAGGGTTAGTCACAGGTAGCTCCCTTCTCTGCCTCACATTTGTGAGTTCTAAATTCTGAGTGTGGGAGCTGATGAGAAGTGAAAAGATCTCAGCGTCCACCAATGGGTCAGCTAATACATAAGGCACTAGGACAGGCGTGGGGGTGGAGTGCGGCGGTCAGACTCTCTGATCCCTTTACAGCTCCTTCTGCTCGGGTGGGTACCTGCATCTCAGCCAGCCCGTGTACTATAAGGGGGAGGGGAGGACCTCCTCAGGCACCTGAGGCTGGGCAAGCTGCAGCTTCCTCGCTGCACTCAGTGATGGGGCCCGACAGACAGACAGGCCCGGGTCCCAGAGCGTTGATGTGCTCGCAGAGGCCAGCGAGTGGACGTCCTGGTTCAACGTGGACCATCCGGGCGGCGACGGTGACTTCGAAAGCTTGGCCGCCATTCGCTTCTATTACGGGCCAGCTCGCGTGTGCCCGCGGCCGCTGGCCCTGGAGGCACGCACCACCGACTGGGCCCTGCCGTCCGCGGTTGGCGAGCGCGTGCATCTGAACCCCACGCGCGGCTTCTGGTGCCTCAACCGCGAGCAGCCGCGCGGCCGCCGGTGCTCCAACTACCACGTGCGCTTCCGCTGTCCGCTTGGTAAGGGCCCTCGCACCCGGACGCCCCCAGCCACTCGCCCATGCATGGGCGGGGCCTTGTGGATGGGCTGGGCCAGGGTGGGAGGTGTCAGAGGTAAATTGGGCGGCGTGGGGTGTGGGGAGGATGGAACCCACCGCTGAGGTCGTGGATGGTGGGGCAAGAATGGGACTCCGTTGGTGAATGGTCAGGGTCTCATGGACCTGGATGAGGGTATGAAGAGGCAGGAACCTTTAGGATCTATGACCAAAGAGAAGCTAGAGCAGTTAGAGACCGTGCTTTGAAAGGTAGAGTCCGACAAATAGCTGGTTGGGGGCAGAAAAGGGCCCGGAAAATCTCCCTGTCGCTGCCTTCATTTGCACATCTGAAACAGCTTACTTCTGTGGAATGCTTTGAGCCTAAAAGGTGTATGGGACGCAGGGAGAACAATAGGGCTAACTAACCTCGGGAGCGGGGGAACTTTAAGCGGAAGCTATGGTGGGATACCACACTGAACTGTCCACAGGTGCGCCTGGGGAACACTGATGTGGCCAGTGGGCAGGCGGGGTCTTTTCCCAGTCTCACCTTTTCTCCAGGTTTTCAAAAGGCTCAGTCCCAGGGGTGGATGGCGCCTAACCCTCCCTCCCTCCCTGCCCTCCTCACAGAGGCCGCTTGGAGCACCTGGGGCCCATGGGGCCCCTGTTCAAGGAGCTGCGGGCCAGGCCGTCGTTTGCGCCGTCGCAGCTGCCCAAGCCCCACTGGGGACAGGTGTCCAGGGCGTCCCCTGGAGACACAGAAATGCGTGAGACTTCCTTGTCCAGGTAGGAGGGGTACAGCCTGAAAGAGAGGGTTGGGTTAGAGGCGGGGCCTTGCATGGGGCGGGGCCAGAGAGAGGGCTCTGTAGGAATGGGCGGGGCCTGTGAGCAGGGGCGGGGCCTAGGGGGCCAAAACTTGGATCACCTGAAGTTGGCCTTTCCCTTCTAGACCCTATCCCCTCTACCCTACCCGTCCCTTAACCCCGCCCCCCCCCCACGTATATTTGTGAATTTGTACATCTGGTCCCCAGGACACCACCTGGGGCATGCCTAAGTGGGCAGATCTGAAGGGGCACTTTCTCCGTGTGCATGGCAGAGTGTTTGGATGTCCCCGTGCACATGCATACACAGAGAAGCTGGCTAATGCACTGGGGTGCACGCACGTGTGGCATTTGCAGCCCCCACACGTCCCCCACGCCCACGCGGACACGCGCTCACACCCTGGCAGACAGGATGCCCATGCTCTCCCAGGGCCAGACAGCAGGCCAGCCAGGAGGCGACTGGAAATTCCGATCCCGCCTGGGCTCCACAAACACGGTCTGGAGACTGTGCCGGCAGAGCCCAAAGCAGGGTGGGGGAGTATGGTGGCCAATGGGGTGGTGGGGTCCCCACCCTACCCAGCCTGACTCTGCCCTCCCGACGCCTCTGCCCTGAAGTTTCCAGTGGAATTTTCCATTTTATAGAGAAACCACGGGGTTGGGAAGGAGATGTTCTTATTCCAAGACCCAATCCTTTCCTGGGCCCCCAGCCCCAGCCTGGACATTTGCTCTCAGGCTGGTAGAAGTATCTCTGTCCTGTGAGTCACCACCCCTGTCCGCAACTCCAGGACATCTCTTACACCTCTGGGCCCCAGGTCCCTCCCCCAACCCAGTCGACTTCTCCACCTCTTCCCTCCCCCCTTCACACTTAGAGCTGCTTCAAAGAGGGGGCCAAGCAAAGCATCTGAGGATCACAAGGGAAGATCTTTGATGAGTGAGTAGAAGGTCTTCCTCAGGAGGGAATCACGTAGTCCCTCTGACCTCTCTACTCCCTGTGTCCCTGCCAGGGTGCAGTCCCAAGATATGTGGATGCCCTGACCATGTTCTCCTGGGCCGAGTGGTCACCCCATCTGGGCAAATACTACCAGGAGCCAGGGTCTCTCTGCAAGACCAACCTGGCACTGTGACAACCACCGATGACCATGGAAACTTCCAGATGCCTGGAATCTGTGCCAGCAGCCGGGCCAATGTCAGTGTCCAAAAGAATGGCTTCTCTGCAGCCATGGCCCAAGCCCAGGCCAATAGCTCCATCTCTGCAGTGGTCACTGTTGTCCTTGATAAGTTGGGTAAGGAAATAAGGGAACTGAGACCTGGGGAGGAAGTTCTGGTTGACACTCAGCACTTGGGAGCAGGTGATTCAGAAGGGCTCACTGAGGGGAGAAATAAAATGTGACAGAGACGGTGAGATATGGCGTTGCAGAAGGAAGCATTAAGATGGGATACCGTCTCGAGCCGAGTGGGGTAAACCTGAGTGAGAGGAAGGTCATCAGAAGAGACACAGGTGAAATAGGACATGTCTGGAGAAGGCAAGGATGGGCCCTGCTCTGGGGAGGGTTGTTGGGAGAGCTAGGGTGGGGCAGTGTCCTGACCTTTGCCCTCTTGCCTCCAGAGAAGCCCTACCTAGTGAAGCACCCCCAGTCCCGAGTGCGAGAGGCTGGCCAGAATGTGACCTTCTGCTGCAAAGCCTCGGGCACCCCCATGCCAAAGAAATACGCCTGGTGAGTGTTCTACCCTATGCTCAATGGCCTCACACCCAGCTTTGGGGTTGGATTGGACTTCCTGTGACATGTGGTACCTGGGAGGACTGGGGGAGGCTACCATCTCCTTGGGCTGCCTTCAGGGTGGGGCAGATGTAGCCCTTCTCTCATACTGAGGACCCCCACGGTATTGCTACCCTCCACCCAGGTTCCACAATGGGACCCTACTGGACAGGCGAGAGCACAGGTATGGGGCCCACCTGGAGCTTCAGGGGCTACGCCCAGACCAAGCAGGAACCTACCATTGCAAAGCGTGGAATGACGCAGGCGCTGTTCGTTCAGGCACTGCCCGGCTCACCGTGCTTGGTGAGCATCCTCAGGCCCCCCCCCCACCCTGAGCAAGCCCAGACACAAAATTGAGCCCTGACTCCAGCTAAAACTTTACTCCAAATGGAGCCCCAACTTCAGAATGCTCTCTGACCTCGCTGAGTCTCATGCCAGGCCTTCACTGAGCCCCTGGGTTGAGCTCCTGACTCCAGTCCAACCCCTTCATCTTGGTCTGGGATGGGAACACTTCCCTTATCCTGATCTGGTCAATTTCTTGCTCTCCAGCACCTGGACAGGCAGCCTGCGACCCCCAGCCTCGAGAGCACTTGATCCAGCTCCCAGATGGCTGCAGCCCACCAGGCAGTGGCCCCACGTACTTGGACGTGGGCTTCTGCCCTGACACCCTCTGCCCCAGTCCTGTGGGGTCCAGTCCCCGCTGTGGCGATGCCAGCTCCCGCTGCTGCTCTGTGCGCCGCCTGGAGAGCAGGGAGATCCACTGCTCTGGCTTCCTCCTCCCAATTAAGGTGGTAGCTGAGTGTGGCTGCCAAAAATGTCTGCCCCCTCGGGGACTGGTCCAGGGAAGAGTGGTTGCAGCTGATTCCAGGGACCCCTTGCGCTTTGCCCAGATCTTACTGGGTCGGGAGCCCATTGGCTTCACCTCCTACCAAGGTGACTTCACTTTGGAGGTGCCACCTTCCACTCAGCGTTTGGTGGTGACCTTCCTGGACCCCACGGGTGAGTTCGTGGACACTGTCAGGGTCTTGCCTTTTGATCCTCGGGGTGCTGGGGTGTACCATGAGGTAAAAGCCATGCGAAAGAAGGCGGCGGTCATCCTGGATGCCAGTCAGAGCAACACGATCCCCCTTGGGGAAATGGAAGATGAGGCCCCCTTGGGCGAGCTGGTCCTCCCGCCGGGATCCTTCCGCAGGGCCGATGGTAAACCCCATACCGGGGCCGTGGAGGCTCGCGTGACGTTCGTGGACCCTCGAGACCTCTCCTCTGCGGCGGCCGCCCCAAGTGACCTGCGCTTTGTAGACAGTGATGGCGAGCTGGCCCCCCTGCGCACCTACGGCATGTTCTCAGTCGACCTCCGAGCCCCTGGCTCAACTGAGCAGCTGCAGACGGGGCCCGTGGAGGTGCGCGTGGCCGCTGGCCAGATCCGCATGATGGGCCACGCAGAGGCCCTCAAACTGTGGTCACTGAACCCTGACACCGGCCTGTGGGAGGAAGAGAGTCACTTCCAGCGCCAGGGGTCCTCGGCCCCGCGGGTGCGTCGGGAGGAGCGGGTTTTCCTGGTGGGCAACGTGGAAATCAGAGAAAGACGCCTGTTCAACCTTGACGTGCCGGAGCGCCGGCGCTGCTTCGTGAAGGTGCGTGCCTACGGCAACGACAAATTCAACCCCAACGAGCAGGTGGAGGGTGTGGTGGTCACATTGGTCAACCTGGAACCCGCCCCTGGTTTCGCTGCCAACCCCAGAGCTTGGGGCCGCTTTGACAGCGCTGTCACGGGTCCCAATGGCGCCTGCCTCCCTGCCTTCTGCGACGCAGAGCAGCCAGATGCCTACACGGCCCTGGTCACCGCCACCCTGGGTGGGGAGGAGCTGGAGCCCGCCCCGTCGCGGCCCCGCCCACCGCCGGCCACCATAGGCGTGGCCCAGCCCTACCTGGACCGCCTAGGGTACCGCCGCACAGACCACGACGACCCCGCCCTCAAACGCAATGGCTTCCAGATCAACCTCGCCAAACCCAGGCCAGGTCACCCCTCTGAGGCCAACGGCCCGGTGTACCCATGGCGTAGCCTTCGAGAGTGCCAGGAAGCCCCGGTGACTGCCAGTCATTTCCGCTTTGCGCGTGTGGAGGCAGACAAATATGAGTACAACGTAGTCCCGTTCCGTGAGGGCACGCCGGCCTCCTGGACCGGAGATCTCCTGTCCTGGTGGCCCAACCCCCAGGAGTTCCGGGCCTGCTTCCTCAAGGTGAAAATCCAGGGTCCCCAGGAATACATGATCCGCTCCCACAATGCGGGGGGTAGCCACCCACGCACCCAGGGGCAGCTATATGGGCTTCGGGATGCCCGGAGTGTAAGAGATCCCCAGCGCCCCGGTACCTCTGCTGCTTGTGTGGAGTTTAAGTGCAGCGGGATGCTGTTCGACCAGCGACAGGTGGACAGGACACTGGTGACCATCATGCCCCAGGGCAGCTGCCGCCGTGTGGCTGTTAACACTCTCCTGAGGGATTATTTAGCTAGGCATCCCCCACCTGCTCAGTCCAATGACTCATCAGCGTTTGCCATGCTGGCTCCTCTGGACCCTCTAGGTCACAATTACGGTGTCTACACAGTCACCGATCAGAGTCCAAGGCTGGCCAAGGAGATTGCCATTGGCCGCTGCTTTGACGGCTCCTCTGACGGCTTCTCTAGAGAGATGAAGGCAGATGCTGGCACAGCTGTCACCTTCCAGTGTCGGGAGCTGCCAGCCGGCAGGCCCAGCCTTTTCCAAAGGCTGCTGGAGTCCCCAGCGAGAGCACTTGGTGACATCCGAAGAGAGATGGGTGAGGTAGTCCGGGCACAGTCCCAAGCCACAGATCCCCTCCGCACGCGTCGGGCCAGGACCCGGCAGTGACCTGGGCTCTTGCCTCGCTCCTCTGCCTTTCTCCAGACTCCTTTGTTCCCCAGAAGTCTCACCCTCTTCTTCAGATGGTCCCTTCGGAGTCTCTGGGTCCCCTCTCTCACTCCTGCCCAGAACTGAGTGATGACCAGAACTTGGAAGGTCTGATGGTAGAATCACTAGGCAGTGATTCACAAGAAAGAGAGTTCAATGACTGGGAGCAGCGTCCTGGGATACCCTCAGGCAGGAGGGAAATGTTCCTAGCTCATATGCTGGCTGATTTCATGTGTATTTTGATGTTGATTTCAGATATTCTGCTCCTTGGATTTTCTGACCTTCGTCCTGAAGTTCTCTCTTCAGGGTGCTTTATTAGGTCCTCTGCCCCGAGCTCTGTTCCAGGGGTTATTTATTGAAACAAAGCTTGCAGGGCTAGTCACAGGGGGGAGAAGAGGGTCTCCCTCTTCTGGGCCAGAGAAAGTCTGGGTAAGGGACTTCTTGACTCTGGGGCAGGAATAGGGCACATTTCTCATGTTTGGTGCTTTAAGACCCCACCCCCACCCCAAGAGGTAGGGGCGGGGAATCCATTAAAGATGCTTCATTTCCAGCTTCTGGCTTCAGTGTTGTGTTCAGGATGGAGACAGTGACTGCTGGTACACCCAGATGTACCTGGGTGGGCAGAAACACTCACAGGTGTGGGTATGCATGCAGTTTCATGGACATGCCTGACACAGGTCCACGGGTCCTGCTAACACATGCAGAGTGTGTCTGTGACACGTGTGTGCCGAGCCGACTCGTGAGTGACCTGAGCCTGCTTGGTTTTGACTGCTGAACATGGCAGCTGCTGCTGCCCTGGCCTCCTGCACTCCTGGCTGTGGCCAGCAGCTCCCGCCTGGCTGCGCGCCCTGGGACTGCAGTAGGCCAGGAGGGGCCCTGGCAGGAAGGCAGGCAGCGGGCTGCCCTGTGTTTCCTCAGCTGGGGTCAGCTGCCACTCCCTGGGCCACACCCAAATGAAACCCCACATGTTGACCATGTTATGATCGGGCTACCCAAGCCCTGGTCCCGGCTCTTCTGGCCTTTCCAGGACCTGCAGTCTGGAGGCGGTGGAATCATCACTTGCTCACACTCTAAGTACTCTGGATACCCCAAGGGTAGGCGCTGTTCTTACCACACCCCTACTTTCTAGACTGAGAAACAGAGGCCCCGAAAGCAGAGGCAAAAGGCTCCTGGGCCCTGCAGTGGGTCCCCAGCAACTCCAGGGTCTCCCTGGAGCAAATAAGACTCCCTTGACTGTCAGCTTTGGCTCCTGAAAGGCATCCAAGTGTCAGGGACTTGGCACTGGAGATGTGAAGATCACCTTGGGGAGGGACAATGGCAGGGGGTGAACATGTGGGGTTTTCCCCTAGTCCAGGGCATGCTCAGGCCTTTTGTACACGTACCTGCCCACCCCTTCGCACTTAACCGACCACCTACCTGTTCAGCATTGAGAGGTGTATGTTCTGTGCAACATTAGGAACCCCGAAAAGCCTTGGCCCTAGCAGGGAGAAAGGCTCACATCCAGACCCCAATCCCTTTTTGTGCTCAGCCCCTATGGCCCACCAGCTCCTCTCCACCTGACAACACCCTACCTTTTCAGCCCTCACATCTTTTTCCACCCAGGAGGTAGATTTGGGGGCCTGGAGGGTCATGGAGGAACTGTCAAACCCTGGACAGTAGCTCTGGTCCATAAGGATGGCTCCTTGAGATCTGGAGGTGCTAGCAACTCCACCCGGCCCTGGGTAGGCTGTGAGAGGGGAGAAGCTCTGAGACCCTTCAGGAGCCAGGAGCCTGTGTTCTGTGTAAAACTTACTATGTTTATACCCCCAAGTGACAGGGCTGCTTGAAAAGGGAAACCCCTGCCCCCATTAAGAGCAGTCTGGATTCTGGACCTGCCTGCCCCTGAGCCCTGCTCAGGGCTGTCTGATGGGGTTCACGGGAGCCACCGAGGGGCACGCCTCCCCCGGAGCCATCAGGAGAAGCTGGTTTCTAGGCCGAGCGTGATGAGGTGTCAGTTTCTGTGGCCAAATACCTTTCATTGAGAAAGTGTTAGGACAGAAGCTGCTGCCAGGCTTGGGGAGGCAGGGCTCAGGGTGGTGCCCTTCCTCGGGCAGGATAGGGATGAGTGGGTGTCACCCTGAAGCCCCTTCCCTAAATACTGGGAGGAAATGGCCTCTGTGTGTGTGTGTGTGTGTGTGTGTTCCAAGTGATGGCACAGCCCAGGCAAATGACTGGCATGGGGCAGGAGTTACGGTTTCAGTTCCTTCCCATGAAGCTCTCCCTTCATGGGGATAGTACTGGACCCTGATATCCAGATGAAAAAACTGAGGCCTCAATAGAAGAGAGCCATTACCTTGAGCTGATAGCCCTGTGACTCCCTAAGCCTTAAGAGACGGCCGCTTCTAGTCCTGAGCCAGGAGTTTCACCCCCCTTTGCTCTCCTGGAAAGTTGGCCATTGGCCTCCTGGCAAATTCACTGCTTCCCCCCAAACTGGAGCTGCCAGATCACATCCCCTGGGCCTGGAGAGAGTGGGGGAACAACTTCCCTCCCTCCCCCAGGGACCCTGGCTCAGCTATCCTTGGGTCAGCTCAGGGCACAAGGAAGCCCTTGGTTCCACCCACAGCATTGTAGACTTTTATAATTTTAGAACCAGGGGTTCTTAAAATTCCTAGCACCGTGAGTGGGAGAAAAAAAATCTTGGAACAATCCTTAAAACATGAGAGTCTTAAAACCACTGGATCCAGGAAGAAGAAGGTAAAAGTGAACATATACTAAATACTGACTGGATGCAAGCCTTTCCTGCTTCCCCTAGCTCACTATAAGGGCAATTAACATGTTTATTGTTTTGTGTGCTCAAGATATGCTTTTAGGGAAAGTGATTTTCATAGCTTGCCCAGGGTTACACTGCAAGAGGGGACACCATAGCCGGAAGAGGAGTAATGTTTTCCAGAGGAGGGGGTAGAGGGCCCTGAGTCCTGAAGGATGTATAGGAGTTTTCCAGGTAGGCAAGACAGGAAGGATATTCCAGGCAGCTGGAAAGGTTCATGTGAAGGCTGGAGGAGGGAAGCAGCAGCAGGGAGACAGCAGAGCAGTGAGCCTAAGATGCCCACACAGGTGATCAGGAGCCATAGACGGTGCTAGGGCAGGGGAAGATTATATAATTTCTCATAACAAAGACTGCCCTGGAACTGGTATGGAATTCAGATCGTTGGAAAGCATTTCTTCCATGGAACTGGGGTACCCCCGCCTTAACACAGCAATGGTTGCTAGGTTCAGACCCTGTAGTCCAGCACCCCCTGGGTTTCCTCTTCCCCCTACCCCCTTCCCCGCCTCTTGTCTTGGCTGAACATCCCTGGCTCCTTGATCAGGGCCTCGAGGACCTGGCGCGGCCACCCACCACTTCCCTGGCCCTGCCTGTCTCTCTCATCAGCTCTGGGAGTTGGGAATGACCCAGTTTCAGACCCCAAAGATGGGAGCCAGCCTGGCGGGAAGACCTGGCCTCAGTCAGTTGTTGGTGGGGGGATGCTTGGGTGCATGCAGCCAGGGCCTGGAGTGGGCGTTCTGGGCAGGCAGGATTACCCAGGGATGTGGGAGCTACAGACACGAAGATTTGGGGGTGGGTGTGTAGGTCATATCCTGCCTTGCCCATGCTCACAGCCCTCATGAAGCCTAACAGATGTGGCATAAGAAGCCAGGCACCCTCACCGTCAGTCCCCAGGTCTGACCGTCCTCATCCTGCCCTGTCCCTGTCCTTCCAGTCAGACATGCCCTCCCACACTACCTGCCACCTTCTTGTTATCACCCATGTGGCTGTGCTAATACTTCCAATGGCAGCCCCACACAGCCTACCTCTCCCTGCAAGGTGCACACAGCTGGATTTTCCAGACGAGCTGAACCCCCACCACCCGACATGCCAGTCACTCTGCCTCTCACGGCTGCATAGGCAGAAACACCTTGCACATATAGGCCCAGGCCAGTACTTAGGGATGCTCTCACCCCACTAAGACCACTTGAATTGGGGTTAATTCTAACTGCTCCAGGAACCCCACAATCCAGACCCTCCCTGCACACTGGCCCACAAGTTATCTCCTGCCTTTCAGGGGCTTGTGCAAGGGGTGGGTGGGTGAGGGGCTGGGGGCTGGGAGGGGGGCCTCAAGGTCTCAACTGCCTTTCCTGGGAAGTCCTGAATCCCTTCCTGCTGACTCAGCCCTGGGGGCTGTCTGGCCTGGGCCGGGTGCTGCCAAACCTCAGGTATGTTCTCAAAGACAGCCTGGCAGGGCCTTCATCAAGGCGGGGGGCAGGGGGAGGGGGTGGCCCTGAGAGTGGCGGGGAGTGGTTCTCTCTTAGAATGCAACCCTTCCCTGGGCCCCAGACAAAGCTGGAGCTTTAATGGTAGAGCTCAGGCCAGCTTGGTAGAGGCCCAGTCTGGGAGCTCACACCCCAATTCTGCCCACTAAGGAGCAAATGAACTCAGCAAAACATGGCTCCCTCCTGAAGGGTGCTCAGCCTCTCTCTGCCCTTTAAAGACACAGTTGCCTTTTGAGGTTGGGGTTGGGGTGATGGGGGGGGGTTAGGGGGAAGTTGGCCTGCCTGCCCATCCTGGGGCCCTACACAGGGACCACAAGCTCACATACTCACGTACCGCAGAGATGTATACGCACATGCTCCCATCCAAACCATTGTAGGGATGTGCTTAATCATGCCTGACTCAGCCCTGGACTGGCCCTCACTGAGGCCTGTTCTGAAGCATGAAACAGCCAGACATAGACACCCTAACCTGTGGGGGCAGACAGGAAAGCAGGGGCTGGGAAAACCCAGAGTGGGGCCAGGGAGGGTTTTCAGAAGAGGGCGTTTGATAAGGGAATTGAAGGTGAGTAGGAGCTTGTCAAACCGAGGTCAGATGTCTAAAGATCCTGAAAGCTGATTATACAGTTTACATGTTGTCTGTGAGGACAGAGAACAAGGAAGGGGCAGGCTGACAA